AATAATCAACAATAAAAATAATTTTTCCCAGCCCAAATACGACCCCCCCTCCCATAGGGAATCCCCATCGAACCCTGTGCCCTGATTTTCCGTCGAGCGGGAGGTGGGTAATGTGCACGTGAAACAGGAAAGATAACACGAAAAGGCAACGACCAAGAAAAACTTTTTCCAGCGCAGCACATTTCTCTCAAAGGCACACATACAACCCCCTCTCCCAACGACGACCAAATACGACCCCTCTCCCTCCCCAGCCAAAAAAGTACGACCCCCTATGTGTTTCACATAATAATGCGGCACCTTGCCCAGGCCAGTTCTATCGTTTGCATGGGCCCAATGCTCAGACCGCTTGCCTTATCATGCCTAGGCCAGCCCTATCGTTTGACTGTACCTCGGTGGCCATCTGGCGATATATTTGACCTGATCACAAGCTGCTGCTCAGTCAGTTCTCACTGTCTGATTTACAGAGAATGACTAATGGGCCTCGCTGTAGTTCACCTTCACTGTATAGGCCTTCCACTCGGCATATGGCGAATTGTACGGTATCTCGAACATCTCCCATAGCATCACACCATAGGCGTAGATGTCCGTGTTGTAGCGCGTTTCACCATTCCGCCATACCTGAACACTTAATGGGATTAGCAAGTCGGTTTTCGACCTCATTTTGCAGATCACATGCACTATGGCAATGGCCTTTAACTGGCTGAGTAATGTCAAAGGTGAAGAACGCCTCCGCCAGGTATTCCCTCACTAGTTCTTTACTGGAGTAGGGAGCAGAGAACAGAGGTTTTTGGTTCTCTTACGCTGATCGGCCAGTGATTGGCGTGACAAGTGACGTCAATACTCCAACCAGCAACGCATAGATAGCATACTTAGTGATTGGTAATCGTGATTGACTATGTGACTGATCACATGAATCGCAACATCAGTACCGGTTGGGCAGTTATACTCGACCGTTAACCACCTAAGTGTTGACAACGCGATAAAGTATAGCGAAAGTTTACTTTGAGGGCAAATCGCACGATTAACGACGATTCAAGGGTCATTCAACCGAAGCACCATTAGTTCCGCCAGGGGACTGCTTTTAGTAAATATTTGAGGGATCTGGAGTTGAATCTGGGAAAGAATATTAGTACAGAGCCCATAAAAGCATTTCTTGAGAAAAACTCACGAGTGTTTATGGATAAAGAGAACATTCATACTTTGCGGCAGCGTCTACTAGCGTCCCGAGCGTCCAGCAGCGTCAGCGACTAGGAAAGTATAGATATCGATCTAACGTCTGCCAGCGTCTCCCCATAAGTGACTGCCCATAGGATGGCCTAGGAATGTGCCACTCAGGACCTATGCAGGAACTGTTACAGCTAATCAGTGAAGTACAGACCATAAAGTGTGCATAGAAGTATCAACTTCTATAGAGATGATGTCGCTCCCGCTGCTTCTTCCCCACAGTATCAACGCTGCAGTGAGATGACGCAACAACAGCACCCTCTTCCTTTTGGGCTTACATTTGTGTATACAAAATCTGCTGGTAAGACAATGATTTTCCATAGAGGCTTACATTAACTGTGGTCACTCAACACAGCGTCATCACCTCTTTTGATAACGATAGCCGTCACCAGACTCAAGGCCATCGAGTCGCTCTCTGGTCAGACGGTTGACCCGAGAAACGTGGCGAGTGGCGCTGAAAGACGCGAAAATTCATCAAAACAGTTGCGGGTTCGATGACCTTATCAGCCAGTTTTATGACGACCAGCGACCGCTGCATTTCCGGGCAATATTTTGTTGCAACGACGACGAAGAAAGAATGGCACGCGATACGTCATGTCTGTAGACCTTGTAAAAATCGTCTGCGTAATGTGATGACCACTAGCTTTCAGAGCTCTTCAAATAGTGAATGGGTCAAACAGGACCCACGCGGGAGCATGGCACGTCTTGACGTTGAGAAGCATCTTCTAGTGTATGACACCTCAAATCGTCGAGGGAGCAAGATAAAGGCAACCGCCTCCAAAGAAGCAGTCGAAATGCGGTGTCATCGACCACGCAAGTACATTCTGTACCCAGGAGATAGAGCAGTAGTAATAACGTGCTTAACGGCCCAGGTGGGAGTGGCCTCGGGAAAAATTGATAGTTTTTGCCAACGCCATTTAGTACCTAATGACGCTCAGCTAATAAAATTGAAGCCTTGCGAAGACGAGTAATATTACGAAGGAGCAGAAGTCCTCGATACGCTGTCAGAATGACGGTTTTGTGATAGGCTCAAGCGCATAGCCTTCTTTCCTTCTTCCTTCTTCCTTCCTGCTCTCAGCTCTCGTCCTTATTTCCTTCCTCTGAATGCTAGACCAGAAAACCGCTGAAAAAAGCCCTTCGAACCCTCACAGTGAGAGAGCATCTGGTTAAGAAATGCCTTGTAACCCACGAACGATCACTGAGTCTGCAGTTACGACCTCTCGCGACGCCGTGGGGTAAGCAGGGTCCTCGTAAAAAGGAAGGAAACAATTGAAGAACATTTTGTCGCGCTGAGTGCGTCAGCTACCCTCTCCCATCCTGGTTGAGGGACTTACCAACGTACGACGTGCGCAAATTAAGGAAACACTGCAGGTTTTCTCAGTAGCTGAGTCTCGCGTTTCGTGTGTAGATCACGCCTGCCTATAGTGTAGCATGTTTTAGTGTGCCTTATTGTTAGGCCTACCAACTCCATTCCACCTTCAAGGGTAGCGATGGAGGGGTGGGAGACCCGTTTCGAAGAGGGTGCGCTAGGAGTAGCGAGAGTAGAGAAAATCGAATTCCAAACGTTGTGGTTAGCCAGCTGATTCATAATTGCAGGCTGCCTCAGCTCGACTGGGTTTATTCAAAACTTTATTGGCACACTCGACACTTTACAATAACACGTAGACACAGATGAGAACTAAATTTGGATCTCGAATAATTGTTATCACCATCAAACGGCACCATTACCTTGTTAAGCACGACTTTTCAACACAGATGATGACTTAGATCGCTCCTTCGTCACCACCGTACTTCTGTAAGCGAGCGTTTGAAATACAATAGTTTCCCGAAAATGGGTAAGGATGAGCACCTGTTCACTTCTTCTAAGAGTTTCCGAAGAGCACTAGCATCAGGCCGCTTCTCTGGATCATGATTCCAAGCAAGCTCCATGACGACCACCATCTCTTCTGGCATAGCCGGTTGGAGGGCATGACGGTAAACCAGCCACTTATTTCGGGCTGAATGAAAGAATGTTGAGGTTGTCCAGCTGCACAACCGCCTTATCCAAGGGTCTGTACTCGTACCATAAAGGTCGTGTTCACATCTCACAATTTCAAGGTTCAGTAGCGCTGAAGCTACCCGCGTATCCGCTGCCCTGCTCAAAAATTGTCCCTCGCACTTAAACTAAGTCAAACTCCGTCAAACTGTAGTACTTCCTTCGCCCTTTGCGGGGGCAAGCGGTAATCGCGCGAGAACAGCTGGTCGTTGTAGAGCGATCGCGAAATGGCGCCATTTCGGGATCACACAGGAGAATCGCTCGTTCCGCCATGGGAAGGGGGGAGTGTGAAGGGGTCGTACTAGATGGGGAAAATTTCGGGTAGGTCATGCTGACACCACCATCTCACATATCACGGTGCTGCGCTCTCTTAATACCCATCAAGGCATTCATCGCTTCAAATATAGCAGGGGTGCTTTATTCGGCGGGCGAAGGGTTGTGACTGACCTCGAAGAATTTTTTCCCGATTGCTATTTCCAGATGCACATCCATTCACCTCTCTCGCCCATCCGTCCCCGTTACGACAAAATTTTAGGAAAGTTTGTAAGAAGTAAGGTTAGTTGCGGAGCGGAATTCCGAAGAAGAATGAATCGAATTCATGAGGGAGTCGCATTTGGTTGCTG